CACCTGTTTCCAGGCAGCAGTCCCACAGCTGCTCTTATTCTGCTGCTGAACGTGCTGCTCCGCTCCTTCTGCTCCGTCCAACTAATATCTGGCAAGAAAACGGAGTGCCTCTGCTAAATTCAGATCACCGTCACTGCAGCTTCAAAGCCAACATGTCAAATAACCAAAACACATCAGGTTGAAAAGTGAAGACATGCATCCCAGTTTACATATGAAAAAAATTACTATATATGTACAAATTACTATAATCTGCATGGGCAAATGCTTGCACTGTGTGGCTCAGTTACATAATTTGTGGTTTTGCATTCATTTGTGTTTATTTTGTGGCCAGTGAGCAGTGCAGGAGTTTGGATGACTCATTTAACCACGAGGGAGAAACAGAGCAGCAAAGAATCGAGGCCAGCCCTGCTATGTTTGTAATTTCTATCAGATTTTTAATATCGCCCCATAAATTTCCACCGACATCAGTGGGCTGTCACTCCTGGCCAGAAAACACTCCTCTGGATCTCCAGGGCCATATTTTATTACTAAAATGTCTTCTGTGAACTGCTTTTCCCTCATGATCTCTAACTAAACCATAAAATCAACAAAAAAACCAGTGTAATGTAAAAGTTATACATTGTTACACTGAATACTAAATATCTCATAATCTGCAGGTACGATTTACTTGAAACAGTTGAGCATTTTAAAAAGATAAATTTGAACTTGTGATAGTAATTGTGGTTTTCTCATGCGCTCACAATTACACGCTGACCATTATCTTGAGATACCGAAGCTAGATTTATGTTATCTTAAAGACCTTTACCCCTTCAAGGTTAAAAGATAAACAACTTCTTATTTTAAGACCCAAGCATGAAAAGTTTCTACATTTCTAAGCATGTCCTCTTTTAATTGCATAGTTTTTTAATGCATACATTAGACTTTTTAAAAATTATTTTAATTTAAAGCAGGATAGTGTTGTGATTTGTTTGGGCGTTTCTCCAGACCTCCTCTCATAAAACAGATGAATGCATCTTAGCTTATTAATGATTTAGAAGTGGTGATGCTCTCGTCTTAGATTTGCTGAAACCAGTTTTAAACTCCCAAAATGTAAAGGTTTGAATGATAAGAGGTGGTGATAACAGGCCAAATTAACCCCAGCCCAGATTAAACCTGGATACAGTTTGACCCAGGCCAGAGTGTACTTTGAAGGATAAACTAGACCAAACTGGACCCGGGGGCATAAAATAGCTTAGGCTAGACTAGACTCCTCCAGGCCAGAATATTCCCATCTATATACCCATAATCTGGCCTGAGGGGTATGACTAATCTTAGGCAAATTTATACCCCAGAGTATAAATTGGTCTAGAAATTGGTCTGTAACCTTTATTATCAAAATAACAATTTCTTCCCCTTTGCACACTAAATAAAACATCTATGGAGCCACAAAACCTGCTAAAACTGGGATTATCAACTGGTGGCCCATGGCCCACTTCATGCCTGTTAGAGGGGGCCTTGCCGGTCAGTAAATGTGATATTATAAAACTAAAATATCAAATTATTATTAATATTTATTGATATTTTTATATTTTAGGACAAAAGAAAAGACTGGATTTATGCAAAGAAGAAAACATTTTTTTTAATCAATTTTATAAAAATTCAACACAAGTATGCAGGCTTATGTGCATTTTTTTTTAGTTGTGGAAATAATTCATATAAGTGGGTGATTATGAAGTAATAAAGCATACAGTAAAATAATAAAAAAAAAAAATAGGCCATTGGATATGTAATTGAATTTTAAAATGAAAATAAATACTTCCATTTACTTTGACTTTGTTTTTTCTTTAATTTTTTATTGTTTTCAAGTTGACTCACCATATTTAGCAGCTTACCTGAAAAGTATTCCCCCCCCCAAAATTTGGTGGATTTGAGAAAAAGATCACACGGTAAGACTGGAGGTGAGCCAAAAGAAGTGGCTAACAAACTACTAGCATGATATAGTCAACAAATTTTACTCCTTGTGTTAGTATCATCATTCACATATTGGCAAAAGAAATGAATGGAAAACTGCTAAAACTCGCCTTTTCTTGTTGTTGGTACAACGACTGGTAAACTTCAGTTTTATTTTAGTTTGGTCACAACTTGGAGCTGCAGCAGAGGAACCAAAGGGCCACATGTGGCTCCAGAGCCGCAGGTTGCAGACCCCTGTCCTAGGCCATACCCAGGGTATAATCTAGTCTAGGCCCCTAACCCCACGTATAGGCCTGACTGGGGGTACTATGAACTGTTACAGTGGGTCTAAATACTTTAAAGCAGGGTTATAATACGTATTTGTCCATTTATTTATTCAGTGAAGTTGTTAGCAGTATGTGAGAATGTTCTGTGTACTGCAGATATGTAACATTTACTCTGTGCACTAATTTTACAGGAAAATAAACACACATCTGCTTTTGATCATTACAAACTGAAACGTGCTGATACTTTAAAGTGTGTTTTCATAGTTATGCACACTGCTCATCGGTTTGCTTAATTACAATTTGCTACAAACCATGCGAGTGTTATGTTCCTCCTGAAACAGGTGATGAGATCTTTTCGCCAGCGTAAAATGGGAGAACTCAAAACTGAAATGCACACTGGTCACATTTCCTGATTTAGTCCGAGCCCCTAAAATATGGTAAATTTTGAGAACATCATTAAGGTTTAGTGTTTGAGTGCTTCTGAAGAATGGCAGCACAGATGCATTAAACAGAATTATTGGACACAAGAGGACTTTAAAGTTCACTTCACAACCATTTAAGCATTTTGAGCTTTCCCTCAATATTTAGAGTTTCTGTTTACAAGATAAATCTCCATGGTGAAATTCAAAATTATTTATTGGATTTTATTTTTTCCTGACCACTTTTATCCATTTTTGAACTCATATTAAATGATGTGATCTCATATTGTGTGACTTTCTGTTGCTAAGTGGTCTATCTCATAAGTCCATGCTGGGTTTGGACATTTTGGGACAAATGGAAACCACTAAAGACCAAAATAAATACTTTTCTCTAGTTTGTGGACGTTAATGCTTCATCAAGAATACTCAATATTTGCACACTGAGCTGTAAATAACATAACAAAAATTAACATTACTTACAATCAAATGAATTCAATGTCAAAGAAAAGCTAGCACTCAGGAGGAACAGTCCAGCTTTGTAGTACTTTGGTACGCAAACAGACTTGGGATATGCTGGTGAAAGAGCCAGTTTGAAAAAAGCTGGCATGTCTAGAACAGGTTTTAAAGTGGTCCGTGTAAGTGGTAGCATCACAAGCATAGTGACAGTCTCATTTTATTTTTTTTAAATTAACCTTTATTTAACCAGGCAAATCCCACTGAGATCACAGATCTCTTTTGCAAGGGAGGCCTGGGCCTGAAGGCAGACTAACATGCATGTTTTTGTTCTGTGGGAGGAAACCAGAGAACCCAGAGAAAACTCACGCAAGCACGAGAAGAACATGCAAATTCCACACAGAAAGAATCCAGGTCCAACCGGGGATTGAACCCAAGACCTTCTTGCTGTGAGGCAACAGTGCTAACCACTGAGCTGTCGTGCTGCCAGTCAGGCAGAAGCTGGATTTCCAACGTTCAGTCAAAAGTGAGTGAAACTCAGCCGACAGCCTTATGCCAGATGATGCATTAGACATCACTGCCAGCACTCAGAGTTTGATAGAGGTCTCGGCCCGGTGGGCATTTTGTGCACCTGCCCAGCACGTGGGGTGTACAGATGTTGCACTAGTTTTGTGTTGGAACAAATAAGTATCTGAGGGTACCTATACACATCATGATGGTTCTGCTCACCCAAGACAGGCCACATTAATGAAGGATAGTTGTTGTGTTGCGTTTCAAACATTCAGAACCCCAGTTTATCTGGACACAGGTCACAAGACTCAACAGCTCCAGTCAATCCACAGCATGTCTCAACGACAACCATTATCCAAACTATGGGTTCACCATCTGATGCGGCTGCTATTAACACCAGAGAGTGTTGTGCTTGGAGATGCTGTGACCAGACGTTATGGACTGATGACTGATGATTATCCTTTCTGAAACAGCAGCCTCGTATAGTCTTTCATCAAGACCACGCCCATCAACACACATGACATAAGTCTATAAATTGCCTGCATCAGATTAAAGTCCTCCCATGGCCAGCCAGGTCCCCCAATCTTTCCCCAATCAAACATGTATGGGATCAGCTCAGAGATCAAGTCTGACCCAGTGCCAATCTGCTGGACCTCAAGGGCGAGTTACAGCAGCTGTGAGCAAACTTACAAAAGAAGGGAGTACTGTGGCTGTACGACTGTTCAGCGCTAAATCCCTGCTTGCATCCTGGCCTGAAGGGGCAGGGACCATGTGCTCGTATGGACAAATCCATTTCATCTGGCTGCTGTGGCTGAGTGGTTAGAGCAGTTGTCCTCAAATGCAAGAGTTGGGGGGTTCGAATCCACCAGTAGTCACATGCCAAAGTGTTCCTGGGCAAAACACTGAACCCCTCGTTGCCTCCAATGTGTGTCCCATTGTTGTATGAATGTGATCTAAAGCTCTGATTAGTCTCTTGAGAATGATTTGTTCAATTAGCTTTGTAGATATCTAGTAGAGTGCTGTATGAATGAGTAAATGAGGACACAGATTGTAGTGTAAAGCGCTTTGAGTATCTTCATAATATAGAAAGGTGCAGTCCATTTACCATTTACCATATTGTAACCCTAGCACAAACGTCACAGCTTCACCACTTTCCGTGCTTAACTTTTTTTGTCAGTAAAATTATATTTCAGACTATTGGAGGAGCCACAGTCAGTAGTAGGAGTGCATAGTGTCTGACTGAACATGACTCATCAAAACAGAAACAAAGATTGGACACTCACTGATCACTATTTTCTTTCTTTTGTGACAGGAGTAAAAAATAAATCATGGGTCAAAGCAGCAAATAAGTGATGTCTGGCATCATCACCAGGGTCTGACTGATACAGTTCTTTGTACTGACCTTGGACTTAGGAGGAGCCCTTATGGTCCAGATACAGTCCAGAGCATCACCAGGCTTCACTCGTTCTTCCTCTTCCACCTGACTGGAGCGAATAATCCCATCCCATCCGCCAACTTCAAACTGACAGTCTGCAGGGAGGCAGAGGGAGATGTGCAGCAGAGGTAAGAAGATAAAACCAGAGGAGGAAGAAAGAAACAAGTAAAAAAAAAAGGAAAAATAATTTGACAGTAGGGTCACAAGGACCAGAGTGAGAGAAGAAAGAAAGAAAAACAGTAGAGACTGCATGGAGATGAAAGACCAGAAGATAGAGGAAAATGGTTCGAGTGAAAAGAGGAGCCTGACAGACCGAGGGACACACGATGGATTTTGTTAAGAAGTGAAAAGGATTTATAGTTCGATTGAAGTGAGCAGAGCAGATTATGACGAGGGACATTGTAAAGAGAGAGGAACAAAGGCAAAAAGACACAGAGAGAAGGGAAAGATAAAAAGAGGTGTGTGCTCTTTCAGGGGCTTAAATGTGCGCTTGTGTGTGCACACACAGCCTTTGACTTCATGCACAATTATGAGCTTGTCAAGGTACATTTGTTCTTTAGGCATTCACGTCACAGTCAGAGAGCGCCTCCGGAAAGCTTCTGAGCACAGTGGGGCTCTTTGAAACGAATCGGACACAAACCAAAAAAATACAGAAGATCATACCTGGGATTGGATTCAGCAGTCCGCCCACGTGCAGATGGAAATCAGGGTCTGAAATGATCAAATTTGGGAGGCGTATTACTCTCAAACCACAGAGCAGAAATAGGTAAGCAAAAAACAAGATAAGATCCCATTAGACTTGGCCAGATAAAGCAGAGAGAGGGTTCTTTATCTGTCGCCTGATGGGAGACACTGATTTCAAGGCACATTGGGTTCAGATTTAAAAGGTTCTTAACTTGAGCTTATCATTGAAACACTAGAGAAGCACAGGATGGACTCTAATGATATTTGGAAAGTAAGGACTTTTAAAGAATCTGAGTGATGACAAGTTTATTATAAAAAAAATATCTTTGTAAAGATCAGTGTCTCTGTGAAAGATTGGACGCTTGTTTTTGTATTTTGGGATAATCAGTTCCAGTTTTTCCACACATCTCCCTCAACACCTTTAATGTGTGCAGAACTCATCCCTCTCTCTGTGCGTCTGAGGGGGATCTGTGATGCGACGTCTCCATTCACCTGCGATAAAGGTGTACTTGATGCGGAAGCCGAGGCCTTCCAGCTCCTCGTCGCTGGTGAACTTGATCCACATGAAACGCCCCGTGGACGTAACGAGGCCTGGATTCTTTCCACCGCAGAAGCGATCGATGAGCGGCGAGAACCCAAACGGCCCATCACGTATTTCGATGTGATCAAAGCGACACTCGAATGATGGCTCGATGTAGTAATTTTTATCAAAAGCCAGCTGAATCCTTTGTCTGGGTAGAGCTTTGGCAAACAAGGGAGGGGAAGGAAACAAAGGAAGAAAATCCATGAAAAGAAAATGACCATTGTTGCTTTTGCAGGGCAAAGATAATCTGGATGGTGTTTTGAAGTCGAACACGAGTTTAAAGTTGAACGTTTCATGCTGCTGTGTCAAACTACGCACTTTTAAAATGAGAAGACTCAAGTGCAGGGTGAACATGTGAGCAAGCCTCTGTTAATAGTTAATAGAATAATAGAAGACTGTTGGAGTCAGTCTCCCCACCATCACAGACATCTACACCTCCAGATGCAGGAAGAAGGCCACCTGCATCATGAAGGACCCCACTCACCCAGCACACACACTTTTTGCCCTGCTTCGCTCAGGAAGGAGGTTGAGGAGCATTAAGTGTAGAACCACTAGACTGAGGAACAGCTTCTACCCTGAGGCTGTTAGACTCATGAATCCCTAACCAGGATAATCACTGTGAAGAAATAAAAATCACTGTAATGCCACTTGATTGTTGATATGTACTGCTAATATCCATGCTGCTGATTTATTTCATGCTGCTGATTTTTTCATGTTGCTGTGTTCATTCGTGCTCATCTGCTCACACAGACTAATGTTCATGCTGCTGTTGTTCGACATATTATTTTGTACTACTAGTGTTTGGTGTACTCTTAGTTTAGCATATTTGTTGGTTCATATCTTAGATCTTATTACTGTTTTTCTTTTTTAATTTATACTTTTGTTGGATGTAACTGGGACCCCGTGTACACAATTTCGTTCCACCACATGTACCACATATGATGTGAATGATAATAAGGAACCTTGACCTTGACGTAATACAAGGAATATTTCAGGTTTTATTAATAAAGTAGTTTGTCACTACGTTGTGGTTCAACTTTCGAGGACTCGCTCTTTTGCGGTTTTTCAAAGCAAGATTGAACAAAAGGGAAAAAAATTGTACAGTACACATGACTGTCAACTTTAATATTACTTGTATGATTGGGACAGTATGGGATACTGTACAGTAAAAAGTTATCAAAAAATAAAATACTTTGGACAGATGCCGCCCTGTTGTAGTTTTTTTTAAATCAATAAGCTGTGATGAGTTCAACAACGTTTTGGTGAAACATGTTTCTGTCTCTCCACAAGCTGCACAATCAAAGACTTTGAACACTTTTTAAATACTGTACTTCCTTGTATACATCATGAGCACCTCTGGAAGAATGCCAAATGCTGTGATCTAATCTAACAGGTGCAGCTTCTTAAAGGCGTTTTGTGCACGCGCTACACGTGCTCATCCTCATACATGTGCAACCCGACATTTCTCTGGTGTCGCCTCTGAATCTAGACCCCTGGACTCACAGCTGGATCTGAAGTTCACCAGTTCATCCGTCAGGAAAATCCACATCTGTGTACCGAATGGGCACCTGATGTCAGGCGAATCATACTTAATAAAGACGGTGGGGGTTAAGATGGGGGGGCTTTGAAAAAGTCAGCCTCAAAGAAGCAATAAGAATAAAGGTAGGGGTCAAAGTGTGTGTGTGTGTGTGTGTGTGTGTGTGTGTGGCTGCACTAAAATGACTAAAATGATTTCTCGTTTGTGTCTTGCTTTTGAATTTGATCCTTTACATTCTGCTTCAGTGAACAGCTTGTATCGCCAGCACTTCCTGCTATGTGCGTGCTCATTATCCAGAGAGTTAGATCTCCATTTTTCTTTTCTGTGCAACACACACACTCACACACACACATACACACGACACAGCTTGATGCAGAAAAAAGCTGACTACATAATCACTCAATCTATTTAGCTGATGAACTTGGGGACATGGCACAATCAATGAACCTCACTAACCACAAATTATGATTACAAAGCTATCTGATTAGCTCCTACAGTAAAATGTGAGCATCTCTCCGTCTCTGTCTGATGCAGAATAAAAGGCTCCACACTGGAGATGATGGGATGTGACTGAGGCCATTCAGGGCTGAATAGTAGCAAATAGCAGGTTCTGTCTGTGGTGCAGGGCTGCACTTGCACACTCCAGAAGGCTGCTCGTGTTAGAGAGGCAGCTTTCCAGTCAACAACAGGTTAGGACGTGGTTTGTCCACAGGTGGAGCACTTGAGCCACGTGCGAAATTCACTCCTCTGCTACAAAGAGGTACCAGCGAGCACACGTCTCATCTGCATTAAAAGCTGTGCTTCAGCATCATGGACAAACAGTTCATCAATTTAGAAAACACATCAGCCAGACCTCATCTCCTATAGCTGCTAATGATGCTTTCCATTATGTTTCCTGTGCAGCGGGCTCCAAATCACTGACGGATGTTTTGTTTCTGGTGGATGCATACAGTTTAGGGATGAGCCTCTAAAGCCCAGTTCTGTAGCACATTTTCCCTCATAACCAAATCTTTTGGCACATTGTGCTAATAGACAAGTTTGCGAGTACAGTCCCACAAAGCCCTGCTCCTGATCGTTAAAGTGCTTTATCTGCCATTAAACAAACTCACAGTGGCTCATTAGGACACTGTCGTGCTGAGTGCCCATCGGCAGAGAGAAAAATAATCAGATCCAGGTGAGGAGATATAAAATAATGTCAGTAAGTTGCAGTAGATGTGTTAAAGTTTTACCTTCCAGGATGTAAACACACTCCTTGTTGGGGGGGTAAGTGTTGGGGTAGTTTGGCGACATGAACACCCCGCCATTGATGTTGCGCACCCACGTGCCGCAGTCGTTCTGGTTGGGTTTCTGACCGCCAGGCTCGCCTAGAGAATCTGAGAGCAGAGAGAACGGCAGGGAGAGTAACAGACGTCTCGTCTTCTGGTAAGATTTAGTGATGACATCATCAAAGAAGCGGAGGCCTCGTCTCACCTTTGGTTCTCTGTGCCAGAGCAAAGCCCTCTTCTATAAGGAAGAAGAATATCCACGCTGTGGAACAGACACATCGCACGTTAGTCTGAGGTGGCACAATCCAGTATCTGTTGGGTCATCAAGAGTAAGATGAAATCAGCCAACAGCCACAGGATAAGCTGCAGTATCGATCAGACCGAGCTCTGATGAATAGCAAGCAAAAAGTAAATCAATACAATTTTTAAAGCCACCTGGGATTGAATTGTTTAAACGGAAAACGGAGTTGTTCTGTAAAAGGATTTATGATTAAAAGGGAGAAGCTTCCTCTGTAATGCCAGTATGCACAGGTTACAATAAGAAACCATCAACCCAATGTTGATGACAGTGGAGGACAATTATTATTATCATGTAATTATCAGGCATGCGGCATCATTTAACCTGTTTATTAACATTTTAAATTCTAAGCAGACATGAGTCCCTTTACCAGTCATAGCACTAATATTTAGCTTTCTTTTTTCCTTTTTTTAAAAGACAAAACCTCTTTGGAGGTCAATTTCTTCTTTGGGCTTTGTGTCAGAGCACTCTATGTTGATCTTCTGCCCCAATGATTAATCTGATACTTATTTGCCCCATAAAATGTCTGACTGCAGGCAAAGAGAATGTTAGAAACTAGTCTGGAAGCCTGATCCAACACATCTGTGAACAACTTTTAAGCAGCTAAAGTCCAAGAAAGAGCAGTAGATCTGGACACATGAGTAGCTGCTCCTAAATAAAAAAATAAATGAAATGCCAAATAACAAAAACTAAATTGTGTCATTAGTTTCTTGTATCAGTTCAATAAGGCTTAATTCTACCCGAAGCGGTCAGACTCATAAATCCCAAACCAGGATCACTGTAAGAAAAAAAACAAAAACGCTGTAATGCCACTTTAATTGGTGATATGTGACTTATCTGTGCTGCTGATTATCCATGCTGCTGATTTCATGCTTCTGATCATCTCATGCCCGTGTATTAATTCATATCTACTCACTACAGACTCATGTTCAGGCTGCTGTTTAATACTGTTTACATTACAGTAGTCTCTCGCTACTTCGTGGTTTGTTTTTCGCGGACTCGCTCTATCACGGTTGTTCAAAATAAGATTGGATATGACACTCAACTGGCTGAGTGATGGATGAGACGCACGATCGGCATGACATTTCTATTTAAAATTATCCATCCATCCATTATCCATACACAATTTAATTCCACCTCATGTAGCACATGTGATGAAACGACAGTAAAGAAACTTGAACTTGAGCTTAACCTTGGTAAAAACAATACAGTAACTTTGGAGGAACAAGAAAACATTAGTGGCAGCAGTAATGGTAGCTGTGGTACCCGAGTACTGGCTGTATTACTGGGCAAACAGCTGCAACAAAGTACATATAAAAATAATAATAATAGTAATAACTTTATTTAACCAGGTTTGTCCCACTGAGATCAAAAGATCTTTTTTACAAGAGACCTGGCCAAGAATGACAGCATACAGAGAGAGGAAAAACACTCAGTTACAACACATAGTCACAATCCACATAGACTTACATTAAAACAAATGACTCAATTAAAACAACTGCACTTCTGCAACTTGAGCATATATATCATGGTATTAAATACATTCAGACATACTAGTGTTCTAAGTTTAAGGTTTGATTGCAAACTGTTCCATGAGGTTGGAGCAGAAAAGCTGAAGGATTTCTTCCCCCTTTCTGTTCTGACACGAGGAACACTAAAATTTAATTGAAATATAAAATAAAACCTGCACGACAGGATTAACGAACTCAAGGCATTAAAACTTAATGGAATTGAAATCAAGTAGTCATTTTAAACTCCTCTAACTTTAACACCAACCTGCAGCCTCTTGGCTTCAGAAACACACAGGGCCCACTAAAGGCATCCAGACAGGACGTGGCTGCAGACAATTCCTGAAATACGGTGCACGGAGAATGTTCTCTGCGCTGACGGTGAGCGTGTTACAGCCTCTGACACTGTCCTGCTCTGATAAGCTGCTGGAGACTCCATCCCCACTGAGTCTGTAATGGGTTGGCCCGCTCACACCAAACCAGAGAGCGGGAGCTCTGCCCACTGGCACCAAGGACGGCTGAGAGATGGCATACAAAGCGTGTGGCCGGGGTCCACTGAGAAAGCCCGCACGGTTGAATTAAGTGACGAGCGCAGCTGCACCAGCGAGCCCTGCACGTTTCAGTGAACTCAAACACACACTTCCTTCAGGCCCTCGGGCTCCAGGATCCTCATTAACTCTATCTCCATTATCTTGCAATGAAAGTGTCGTAGATGGGAGTATGAGCCACCGCGGGCGTGTTTTCAGAGCGGACCACCCTGAACGAGAGAGCCAAATAACAGAACAAATCTCCTCAGTGTTTACATTATTATTTATATTTTGTCAGCAGAGCTCGAGAACACGTTCCAAAGTTCTGGTTGTTGGTCGCAATAAAATTAATAACAGAACAAGCTGTGATCAGAAGAGATGGTTAACATGTGGATCAATTAAAGCCAGAGCTAAAGAGCTGCTGTGGCAGAGGTGTGTAATTATTTGTAGCTATTTTTAACACATTTGATCAAACTTGCCCAAAGTAATCACTGGATCTACAGCGTGATTCAAGATGGCCGCCACAGCCAACTGACATTAAAAGCACTAAAATGACTATAACTCAGTCAGTTTGACAGATATTGAGGCCAGATTTGATGCAGTTGTAGCCGTGAGTCATTCACAACACGAAGCCTGAGATTGTTCTTAACATTGTCCTCAATGTTTCTGTCAATGAAAGCTAGGCTTTTAATAGTGTGAATGTTTATGAAGCACTTTGTGATCCATTTTTCTTCCATACATATTTCAGCATCTTTCTTGTCCTGCGGTTTTCAAGCTACTTCAACAAATCATATATCAAAATGTTCAGCTTGTTCAGGAGAAGGGTGCCATGACTTTTAGTATTGGTTCAACTTTAGCTTTTTGAAATATTTAACCTTTTCTGCCACTGTTTTCCTCATTTGAAATGAAGTGAGCTCATTTTACATCCTTCAAATCTTTAGCTGTGTTTACAACCTTTCACTGCTCCTTTCACATTTTGTTCAGCTTCAGCTTCTTCCAGCTTCTTTGTGCAAAAAAAAAAAAAAAGAAAAAATTCAGCTACTTGATAATTTTAGCTTTTTTCAGCTAATTCCACGTTTGCTGCACTCATTTCAACTTTTTTCAGCCTAATTCAGCAAAAATGTGCTGTCTCCACTTCCTTCTGGTAATTTAAGCTTCTGTCTGCAATTTTTAGCTATTTTTCAGCTGGTGCTAATTTCAGCTTTGTTGTGCTCATTTCTACTACTTTCAGCCTAAATGGGCAAACATGCGTTCTTTCTGCTTTCTCCTGCTAATTTAAGCTTGTCCTACCTTTTCAGCTAGCTTTATAGAAAATTTTAGCTAACTTCAGCTGTTTTCATATAAATTCAAGTTTTTCATGGTAACTTTTGCTACTTTCTGCTAATTAAATTATTTCTGCTATTCTCAACTTGTTATGCTCCTTCATCTTTTTTCTGCTAGTTTCTGTTATTTCAGCTATTATTTAGCAGTTTTTATGCTAATATTAAAATTTTCAGCTAATTCTATATATATTTTTCCACTCATTTTAACTTTTGTGTTCTTTCTGCTTTCTCCTGCTGATTTATGCTTGTTCTACCTTTTTCAGCTACGTTTCAGCATGGTATTTGTTTTAGCTAATTTCAGCTGTTTTTCAGCAAGTTCCTCAGCAATACGCATTCACACAGCACTTTCACAGGAAATGCAATTTCTCTAGTTTAAATAATTTTACAATATATATACATTTTAAAATGAACAACAAAGGCATGTTGCTCTTTGTTTCTTGTGCAGCGTATCTCCTCAGAAACTGTCTCGCTCCACTGAGGAACGCACTGCCTGACCTCTGTTGATTGCTTGATAGATAGATAAATAAATAAACGAGAATAAACACGCTGCGGGTTCAGGCGTGCTATTCTAGGCCTTGTCACTTCATTTCTTCATCACTTCTCACATTGGCTTACACACCACATTTAAAGCAGAGAAAAAGGCCATCTGTCACACGGCTGAGTCTGTGGCCTGAAATCAGCTCAGACTCAGCATCATCTCCTGGAAGATTTAATGAGGAGACTCAGGCAGGGTGACCAGCGTCAGAGAGAATCATGTGCATCTAAAGAATCTATTCATTGCTAACTTCCTTCATAGCGAGGCATTACTTGGCAGTCAAAACAACCTGAGCTCCCAAACTAAAGGGAGAGAGAGAGAATGGAGAGCTTTCAGTGAAGATCTGCTCCGCGTTGATGTGATTGCATCACAATGTTTCTGCAGACGTGTCAGCCGCCTGTTGAAGCACATCTCAGAGGTTTCTGACTGAATTTAGATCTGGAGTCTGGAGAGACTCCTGCTCTGGAGATCTGTTGGAAAATTATCGCCTGGTGCCAAAAAGCCGATCCTGAAGCTCCTGCACGAGTCCGTTCGTTTGTCTTAACGCTGAGCGTCAGCCTGATTCAAGATGGCTGCCACAGCCAAGTGTCCTTAAAAATAATGGCTATAGCTCGGTCATTTTGGATGATGTAAACTTTGACAAGCTGAGGCTGATTCACAGCACGCGATGTGTGCACTCACAAGCTATTAACTATTTAACACTGTCTGTTAGCAAAACATCTCACAAACCACTGGACACATTTGAATGAAACTTGCAGGAAATAATCAACGCATGTTACAACTGATTAACTTCTGGAGCCAACACAAAATAAAGTGACCACGACAGAGAGCACACACATGGTGGTAACTCTGTGGATTTTAAATATGTGCTAAAAGTTACTGTGGTTACAGCTGAGAGTCACTCACAGTACATACATGACGGCATCACTGTGCATGATTAAAAAAAACAAAAAAATAGAAAGATCCTGGAGAAACTTAGATGGGGACTGCTGCGTGGTGGCCATTTTAGAGTTCTGTCAGATGTTTTGAATAAGAAAAACGGCGTGCTTGTTCGCAAATTACGTTGCCATGGTAACTCGAAATGCCAATAGAAGTAATAGCACACATCACGGCACTGAGCTGAACGTTTAGATATAACATTTGTGGGGGTACACGCTGCGGTTCGAGCTGCATTAAAGTTGACGGAAGAGTTAAGATATAAAGTTAAGAAACCCTTATCAGGTGGATAATAACAGGGCAGTCCCCAAAAATGACTAAAACTGCTGAAACTGTCATTTATCAGTTTCTAGGAATGCAAAGTGTTTTATTTTACCACTTGGCATCTTTACATATCCATTGGAAGGTCGGTTGTGATCATAATATGATCAGAAACAAATCAAAGACATGGATTATTGGTAGAAGCAGTCAGTGCAGGAGCCTCCACCTGCAGCAGTCTGGCTGCTCTCAGGATCCATGCTGTTCATGCTTGTGATCCGATCATCTGCAGCCTCAGCACAAATTAAGACTTTTTTCTTTTATTTTTGCTCCAGTCCTTAATTTTTATTTTATTTTTTCTTCTGTGGGGCCACACCTGCTGCAGCTCCACAGCTCTAACCTGACACGGTTCATCAGTTCAGGACGTGTTGAGCATCCAGAGGCGCTTTCCTCCTCAGCAGCTGCAGACTGCTCTGTCCGAGCTCAGTCACTGAAACCTCATCTGCTCCTGATTCTGGCGCTCGAGAGGAGCACGAGACCCTTTTATCGGCAGCTTGTTGGCGATTAGCTGACCTGTGAGTGTTTGGAAACCCGGCTCTGCAGGTGGAGCTAATTCAGCTCTTTGTTGGCTAATTAGCCAATTAGCCAAAAGGGAATATCGCCGTTATTTCCGGTGTTTAATGACGCGGGAACGCACGCGCGCACGGACACAAAAAAAGTGGAACTGTTGTGAATAAACGAGACGCCTCACTTAAAACATAAATGTGTATGTGGAAATAAAAAAAAAAAAAAAAACGCGACAAGTGTCTCCCAGGTGTGGCGCGAGGCCAAAGAAAGAATCTGGAGCGGAGCGCGTGGCGAGGCGCGCGCGCCCACAGCGGCACACCTGGAGCGTTTCCACCGCAACGGAGGAGAAACACGGTCACCCGCCAGGAGCTGGAGGAAGAGGCGAAGTTTCGCAGCGAAAACAAACAAAAAGGCGGATTAAGTTAAAACATTTACCACAAAACAACCCTAATCTGAGCGGATTACCGCAGGTATCGATGTCCCTGATGGTTTCTTTTTCAGTGTTTAACCTCTGCTGTCATCACGAGCACGACTCTGATTGGCTTTAAGATGTTTTTTTCTTCTTCTGGTAAACACTTGTCAGGTATTGATCCATCAGAATCAAATCGGTAACAATAAATCGAACCTCTTTATTAAAAGCTCAAAGCAGATTTTAAATGTTCTTTAACCAACCAGACATGCAGATGACGGAAAACAGACCTGTGTGCGCGTGTGTGTGCGTGTGGCACAACCAGCAGGTGAGTTCTGACTAAAACACGAAGCAAAGACAAATAAATTTCAGACAAATGGTCTATTTCCAACAGACTGAAGCGCGTTAATCTATATAATTTTTATTTTACTTTAATTGCTTGTAGAAACGCGCGTCACTTATAATCTGAACAGGAACAAAAGGACAGAAAAGTCATAATTTAATTCGGAGTAATTTAAAGCCTGTCTCCGCGGTGCGCGTCGCGCGCAGGAGCAGCTCGTGCTTTAACTCACCTCTGTGCATTTCCTTTGTGTGTGCGTGAGTGTGCGTGATTCCAAAGCTCTAAGAATGCCCTCCCATTCTGCCGGCTGCACGCGGATCCACGAGGCTTTTGTCTAAATCCAACTTTTCAGCAGCAGTAAATCCATCGCGCCGCGCGCAGCGACGAGCTCCGACCGTGATCCTGCTACAGATGCGCGCTGCCGAGAGCCTCTGAGCCAGGCATGTTCAGTCCGAGAGCAACCTCCAGCTGCTGAGAGAGGACATGTGCGCGACTGGACCGAGCCAGGAGCTGGTGCGCACGGAGAGGCGGCTGTCCAAAAAGCGCAGGAGGATGGATGATGATGGAGGAGGAGGCGGAGGAGGAGGAGGAGAAGGAGGAGGAGAGGCAGCCTACTCTCAGAAGCACATCTGAACTGAGGAGCTCTGCTGAACGAGGCTCATATAAGTCTTGGGTGTTGCTCACATCAATCAGTAACAGCGTCAAGTTACACAGGAGGAGGACACACTTCCGGATCAGGCTTTAAAACAAACAAACAAACAAACAAACAAACAAACGAGAGAAAGCCTTCAACAGTAAATGGAGTGAAATAACAAAATGCTTCTGCAGTCCGTTTGACATGTTAGGGAGTTATTTTAGGTTGGAATTGGTGTAAAAGTTACAGGAAGTATTGCGCACTAAATTTATTTGAGATCACAGCATTCCTCTTTTTATTAAACGTTGTAATTTGCATAAATTACAATCAGTAAAATATAAAATTAATCCACTATGATGAACTGGAAGAATACTGATCAAAGTAAAAGTCCAGTCCTAATTGAAACCAGACTGTGCCTTTTGGGAATTCATGCTCTTATTTTGACAGGATTTCCGGTTTTGTTCTGCCTTTTCCCTCCAGTTTCCTCCAGCTTGCAGCCTACTATTGACTGCTCTCTCTCTCTCGCGCGCAGCTCAGCATCAGCTGTGATGCTCCTGAAGGCCTCACACAGCCTTCCTTTCTTTTGCAGAGGCAGCAGGCTGGCTCTCGCCAGCTGCTTCCTGAAGCGTGCAGCCGGGGCCCGGGGCCCCTGCACAGGGAAGCTCCTAACAGCTTCCTGGGCTCCTCTGGAAAATTAAAGACCATTTCATTGCACTGATGCTGAACTCATTACACATCTCCTCCTGAGCTGCAACACAAACAGGATGCCCTCGCACCTTCAGGGGAACAGTTTTTGACAAGTGTTGCAGCTCTAGGACGTCGCGTGCAGCAATTTTATTTTAATTAGAAGCTTTCAGGGCAGCGAGACGTACAGAAGACAGGAGGCCAGTCGACTTCAGCAGAAGAAACCTTTATTTTAATCTCAGCCTCAAGTAGACACATTTAGCCCGAACATTAATTTGCAAGTTAAATCCACCAAATGAAATAAATCTCACACACTCCCAGTCAAACATTAATTTAAAACAATGCAAACAACTTGGGACAGACATGAGCTCATCTGAGGAAAAATAAACATCCCGACATGTTTAAAACAGAAACCGCCTTGAATCACATGAAACTGTTTCATTGAGCAGAACAAACAGGTTTCAGACTTTCGGCTGAGCCTTGATGCAGCAGCTTTAGCTATTTACAAAACCTTTTTGGCACTCCCTTGATGAGATTCGTGATACAATCAGCTCAGGAAAAGATGACTTTGAACTCGGCTAATCTGAAGTCCAGCCATCATTTTGGGTGAGATTGGAAGCAGGAAAATGCTCCGCTGCGTCAATACTTTTTAAAAAATTCACCACTGCAGCTGCAAGGCTCGGATCAACAACATCAGTTTTATTCCACCAAAAAAATAAAAGAATGAATCGTACAGATAAGACAGTAACACGTGTTTTTAAACTACAGCTTTCCTTCCAGTGTATAATACTCTGATAATAAATAGCAGAATTTTCATGTTTGACATTTCAGCAGGAGTTCCTGTCATCTCATCACACTGCTCTAAGAAAACTAAAGAATGGCAGCTTGTCAGCTGACCGCTGTCAGGATTCCTCTCCGTGTCTCCAGGTCCTTGTTGTTGTATTCTAACACTGGAATGAATCGATCAGATGAAACAAATACTTCACGTTTCACTCGATAAAAACAAGAAAAACAGTTTAATGGCAGAGGAGGATCAAGTTATTGGCCCTTGAGTCTGAATGGAAAAGTGTGCGGAGAGAAGAGGGTGTTGAATTGGCGAGCGAAGCAGGGAGAGGAGGATGTTCTCCCATCATGCAGTTCTGTTCCTTCACATGGCATCAAAATGGAAGCGGTGGGCTTCCTGCCTCTTCTCTCGGTCGTCTGCTTTCTGAGGAACAAACACAAACACAAACACATTTAGTCAACGGTTTGAAATATCTCCGACTCACTGAGCCCGTATGAAGCCGAGCACAGAACGTCCAGATTGATGTTACGGAGGCTGAAAACCCCATTCCCGCACTGGGAGAACATGGAAACTGCACACAGAAACCTGCGACCTTCTCACTGTGAGGATCCACCGAGCTGCTCCACAACCCTGCCCCAATCAGCAGTTTACACATCTTGAAATCAGTTCATGATTGTGAGAACGCTTATGAAGCAGTCACACTATTGTGATCCATTTTTCTACCGTATGTTTTTTTGGCGTATGTTTTATTTTACTGTTCGCTCACATTTGGTTCTGGTTCAGCTTCTTTAAGCTTCCTTGTGCAAATAAAAAAAACAAGCTGTTTTCAGCTAATTTCAGCTGGTTATGCTCCTTTCAGCTTATTTCTGCAAGTTTAAGCTTTTTCTGCCATTTCAGCTACTATTTAGCTGTTTTTATTGTAATTTCAGCTTTTTCAACTAATGCCACATTTTGGGCACTCGTTTAAACTTTTTTCAACCTAATTCAGCTAAAATGTGCTCTCTCCACTTCCTTCTTGCAATTTCAGCTTCTTCCTGTTATTTAGTTACTTTTCAACAGTTTTTCTTTTTGCTAATTTCAGATTTTTTAAATAATAATTTACTCTTTTTTGGAGGGGGAGAGGGATCATTTCTGCTTCTTTCAGCCTACTGGGTAAACATGTTCTTTCTGCTTTTTTATACTAATTTAAGCTTGTTCTACATTTTCAGCTATCGTTTTAGCATGTTCAAGTCAATTTTTAAGCCAAAATTTCAGATTAATTCAAGTTTTTCATGATAATTTGTGCTACTTTGAGGCTAATTAACGTCTTTATGTTAATTTTAGCTTGTTATGTCCATTCACACTTTTTTCTACTAATTTCTGCTATTTCAGCTGTTTTTATGCAAATTTTGTATTTACTTCCATCATTCATGAACTAATTTCAGCTCTTTCTGCTTCCTTCTGGTAATTTAAGCTTCTTTCTGCATTTTCAGCTACTTTTCAGATTTTTTTTTTCTAATTTCAGCTTTTTTTTAGCTAATTTCCTATAATTTTTGCGTTAATTTCTGCTTATTTAAACCTAACTCAGCAAATATGTGTGCTTTCTGCGTTCTTCTGCTACTGTAGGCTAGTTCTTCATTTCAGCTACATTTCAGCAGATTTGAGCTAATTTCAGCTGTTTTTCAGCAAGTTCTTCTGCAATAAGCATTCACACTGCATTTTAGCAGGAACTGCACAAAATAATACAGAAGTATGCTGGTTTAATCTGGTGTAAGAAATGTTCAGTAAATGCACTTAACCTGTTTTTCCATTGCATGGCTTCAATAATAGTGGAGCCTGTTGCTCTAAAACCAAACTAAATGTTTCACATGTCCAAAATGACCAAAACTACTGAACCATCACTGAGTCAGGCTTTAGGACTGTGAGTTTATAATAAACCATGAGGACAGTTTTACCACGGAGCCTGAAGAATAAAGTGTGTGATAAAAAAAGGGTTTTAGTTTTGTGTTCTTTGGACCACAGATCTGTCACCTCAGCAGTTTTAAATGAGCTCAGGCCCAGAGAAGGCCACGATGCATTTATTTTATTTTAAACTCTAGGCCACATTGTTGAACGCAGAGTTGAGGTGTTCAAAAAGTTTTATTGAACCCATTAAATTATTTTTCCAGGATGGATTTTTGTAAAAACAAAACAAAAAACTAAATAAATAAAATAAAAAGTAAAAAAAAACAACAACAAAAAAAACAAACGCATTCTGAAGCTGAAGAGTTTTCTCTTCCCATTCAGGAGACTTTTAATTAATTATAAAATGTCTGGAGTGTGTGGCGTTCCAAGCTTTATAAAACTGCATGAGAGGCCTGGTGTAGATTAGACTGGAACTACTCGCTCTGAACAATGAAGGCTCGTTAGGTTCTTTGTCTGCCTGGTTCACAGAGATGTTTGGGTCACCTGCATGAAGGTGTGGATTGGAGTGGAGCTGACCTGGAATCAGGCCTAAAGCTGCATTGTATGTTTTTGAAAGTTGCAATCTGAGACCTCCTCCTCTGTTTAAAGGAGTTTTTTCTTGTTTGATGTTAAATTTCTTCCTTCACCTCCCTCTCCAACCATCTCTTCTCTGTCCAAAATATGAACATTTTGGTCCTTTAAAGAGCGTCCCTTATCCTCGAGGTGTAGGTGGACCGTTGTTGTGTCCTGAAGAGCTGCTCTCTGGTGTTGAGCCATGTGTCGGTGGAGAGGTTGTTTAGGTTTAGTTTCTCCAATACAGAGGTCTGAACATTCCTCACTGACCTGCAGACACCACACTGCTCAGTTTAGGTTTGGGTCCTGTTGGGTTTAAAATGTACCAGGATGTTTTGTTTGGAGAAAATCCTTCTGAGTTTTTCAGATACTCCAGCAACATATGGGATGATGATGTTTTTGCGTTTGTGCTTCTCTCTGTTCTGTTCTGTAGAGTTTTTTAGATTTGTTTCCTGATTGGACAAAGGCCCAGTAAGAATATGCACAGGTTTGGAGCACTTCTTGATGATGTGTTTCTGCTCCTCTTCCTTCCCTTCTGTCTTTGTGGGGACAAGTTCAGCCTGGTGGTGTAAAGTTTAATGACAGAACGTTTGCGTTCCAGTGGGTGGTGGGAGTCAAACAGAAGGTGCTGATCTGTGTGAGTAGGTTCCTTGTAAACTTCACGTTGAGGCTTCCATCTTTTCCCATGTTCACCAAACGGTGCAGAAAAGGCAGCCTGTTGTCGTTGGCTCCCACTCTGGTAAACTTGATGTAGTTGTCCATAGAGTTGACGTGTCTGCTCAGCGCTTCTATTACATTCACATGGATTTTGACCCAAGTGTTATAAACATATCTGAACAAGTGGCTCGGAGTTGTTCCCTTGAAAAAGTCCAGGACACTCTGTTCCACTTCCTCCATGTAGAGATTGGCCACAATGGGTGACACCGGAGATCCCATGACACAACCATGCCTCTGTCTGTAAAAGCTGTCACTGAACTTGAAATAAGTTGTGGAAAAGCAGAGGTCCAGCAGAGTACAGATCTGGTTCATGGTGAAATTGGTCCTGTTGCTAAGGTCATTACTTTGTTGAACGTTTCCTGCCAGTTTCTACTGCCTCTGGTGGGTATACTGGTGAAAAGTGAAGAGACATCAAAAGATACAAGAGTTTCTCCTGGCACCATCTGCAAATGTCTAACTTTGTTTGCAAAGTCCATGGAGTTCTCTGTGTGATGTGGTGTGTTTCCCACAAGAGGAGCTAAAACAGCAGCGAGACGTTTTGCAATATTACATGTCACCAAGTTCATGCTGCTGACGATGGCTCATGTTCTATAAAGATTGGAGTTCCACTTCAGACATTTTATAATTGATAAAGCCTCCCGGACGAGAAGCAAATCTTTCCAATCTTTCTTCTTCCATCCTCAGCTTCAGAATATACTGTAAGTCCAGTTGCTTTTGCGTTTTAACCTTTTTTGGGATTGATCATGCTGTGGATGACTGAGACATATGGATTTATTTTTTAACTGAGTTGCCACACGAAGGCCCAGCAGTCACAATAATTCTGTTCTGGTTTTCAGCCTCGACTCTGGTGCGCCCAGATTTCTCTGAACCTTTAATGAGAAACTCCAAGAAGTAATCTGAAGTATCAGTCAAAGCCTTGGACACAGCTGTCCATTCAGTTTGAAAGAGGACGTCTGTTCAGACTCATGACTGTTTACAGCAACATCTGTTTATTAAAATGTTACAGACGGATTTTCACTTCTTTACTCCTGATCAGCCTCTCTGGGATGCTTGTCCTGCTCATACCAAGTAATACAATTTTTTTTTACATTATTTTTTAAAACAACAATTTGAAAACATCAAAATAAAAGTGTTATGCTGTCTTCACATTATATTTCACTGTGGAGTGTTTGCCATGAAATGGTCAAACTTTGTTGGAGGAATAATTTGTGAAACATCTTCAAGAATCAAGAGAAGTTCAGCTGCCTTCAACTGAACCACTCAATGTGAAAATGATGGATTAAGTCTTTTTGTGAATAGATTGTAAATCGTCTTGAGGAATGATGTAACATTTAACGAACAATGAGCAACAGAAAATAGGGGAGAGTAAACAGGGCTGGAAACTAGATTCACCAAGGAGAGACATTTGGACTGTCTCCACCTGCCTGGAGATTGAAATGGTCAAAAGTCGTTTGACTAAACAATCCATCAAAGGCAACTAAAACAGTGCCGTCTTCCTCTCATCAGCTGACCACAGACACTTGACAGATTAAAGCTGCTGACAGATACAACCAACAGATTGGCTAACTAGTATTTGTTCAACAAGACTGATGCTGCACCTGAAATGTGACTAAAGGTGTTAAAGTTAAGTCAAAACTACTCAGAATCTGTGAGCATCTGTCTGAATGCCAACACTTATTACACTGTGTTATATCTAAACCTCAAGCTGATAGAAATCAGCAGCCGAAAACTTAGATTCAGAGAACCTGCAGTGTCAAATTCTGACAGAGGCTTCTTTTAGCCGTCATAACCAAGCATATTACTCATTATTGACGCACTGATTCATTAATTGATCATTTTTCTCGACAAGATGACAAGCTTCAGGCGAGCCGACTTGCCCTGATGACACGCACGCAGCTGGATATGTCATGGATTCCTGGGGATATTGGAATGTCTATCTTTGCTGTCCACCAAGGATGTTGAAGACACAATATATATTTTGATTTATGATAACAGGTTTCCTGCTTTTTGGAATTGGCTGGTTCTTGGCTTATCAACAAACAAGGAAGTCGTCGGCAGCAAATTTGGCCCTGGTCAGGCTGCCTACCTTATGTGATGGTTTGCTTCGTGCCTCGAGCACCCAGACTCAGTTGCATTGCAAACTGAACGCTGGCAGGATGGATCCGATCGTGGGGAATACTCTCAGGCATGGACCAGTGGTGTGTCCACCT